ATACTTTTAAATGGTTCTTGACTGAAAATAAGGCTGAGAAATGCTGTTTTATATAATGTATTCTAGAGAATACAACAATGCCAGATTCTAAAGGATGTTTTCAACAGCAGTCAAGGGCACAGAGCTGTCAGGTGACCCAGATCTTTCCCATTCAGCATAAGGGCTCTGCGTGTATAGTAAATGTAGATGAACTTGAGGCGAAGTTCAGTGCAATTATATGAACTTTGCAAATGCAAATTACTTGAATAAGTTAAATCGAAATTATGATTACTTTAGAACAGGGGTGGGGAACGTCTGGCCCGCGGGCCGTCTAAGGCTCCCGAAATAATTTGGTCTGGCCTTCCGAGCAGTGGTGGTCCGGGCGGAGCAGGGCAATTGCAATCTGATCGTTCCTAGACTGTCAGAAGTCTGATACAATGTTTCAGCATAGAAGCATATTGTTACATATTTCTGTGCCGAAGAAACTATTGTAACAAAACAGTCTGTAAACATCGGGGGAAGTCCCGATCTCTACAGAGCTGTCAAAACTGAAATAGCAGTGCAATGAGCACACATTCTCCTTATCTGCTATTTCAGCTGCCAAAAGATCCGATATTTGTAACAGCTTCATTCTTTCATTGATGAAAGAAAGAAGCTTTTACAAAAGCTTAACTATTTAATTAATCGATGCCTCAATATTGAGGCATCCAGTAATGAATGGTCAGTGCTGATTCTCATCGGATAATGCTGCTCACGTACAGTGTATGTCTCCAGTCATGAAGGGGTTAAATGTTTGACCAAATATAGCAGGCTCATTTTTACGTTGATGATTTTGTATGGCCCATGAATGATGTTATAAATACACAAACGGCCCTTGGCAGGAAAAAAAAAAGTCCCCCACCCCTGCATTAGAAGAAGCTGAGAGACAAGTACAGAAGTGATTCTCAGCTTATGCACTACACAGTTTATTTTGCCTCTGAAGTTCAGTGTGAAGACATTCTTCTTTAGTAACTCTTCTATATTTCTATAGCCGTTACATAATATGTTAAAAATAAAACAATGGTGTGTTATAAAAATAAAGAATTAATATACATTCTACATAATAATTATCTATAGGCATTCTTATGTAATGACTTCTGATGAAATGACTTTGAGGCACCACAAGGATGCAATGCATTTTTTTCAGGTACCTATTAACAGGTATTAGTCTAACCATATTATTGGCTTTCTCCACTTTAAAGTATATATCAATGTAAGTACTGAGTGCACTATATCAGATCACTCAATAGTAATTTATAGCTTTCATTATCTAACCTGCGGTAAGATAGAGATCACATTAGCCTGGACATTGCTCTCTTTTGTTGAATTGTCTTCAGCTCGCCTGTTAATAGGATTGAAGTTTGAAACGTGCTGCAACATGTCTAAAACAGGCTGCAACATGTGGTTACAGTATAGTAGCAGTACTAGGTGTATAGGTACCATCTTAATTAATTGGTAATTTTTTTGGCCCTGTAATGCATAACTGCAATTACAAGAGCAATATTAAATTAAGGAGCATATCTCTTAAAAGCATGTTGCAAAGCATTAGTGTAATAGTAGGTGATGTCTTACTCTAGGCAGATGACAGTTATTCAGTGCAAAGCTGTTATTTCTATTGTTTGCACCTATCATATTTAGATAGATCTTAGTTTTATTTATTCAGTGCCTGCTGCGTATGTGCATTGCAGTGTACAGTCTTAGCTGGATGGTGAATAAATGTGATATACACAAAGTTACACCGTCAGTGGCTGCGATCTGGCAAAGGAAGAAGGAAGTCACTGAGTCTGGAAGAAGTACAGAAGAAGGCAGCATTACTTTTTCTTTTTTAGTTTTGACTAGAGTGGTGAACAGCAAATCCGCTTGTAGGGTTTTTTGCCATCTAAGTCGTATTGGGGATTTTTTCCTTTGTTTCCTCTCTCAAAGACACAACAGGCATATAGGGCATCTCTTTGAAGTAAAGGAAATGCCCTTTTAGACTTGTCACCAAAATACACTGATCAGCCATAACATTCTGACCACTGAGAGGTAACATGAATAACATTGATTATCTCGTTACAATGGCACCTGGAAGTGCCATTGTAACGATTATATTATATTATATATATATA